ACACTATGGACACGGTCCGTGTCACTAGTTAAAATTGCTTATTTCTCTGGATTTAAACATTCTTCAAAACATTTGGGATAATGTAAGTACACAAGTCAGCAAAATATATAAAACTGTTCTAGTGGTTTTTGGATGTTTTAATCAAAAAATCTTACATATTGTGCCTTTAATGTTGCTATGGCAATTTCACTGGCACAGTGGTGGGAAGACCACTGGATTAAGACGAGTCTTACTCATAGTGCACAGCAAAGGAAAAGCTACATGTATTGTTCTGCGAATAAGAGGACAAACCTCTTTTAAAGATCTGACGCCAGCTTGCCACTAACCTTGACAAATCCAGTGATCGGTTCTTCCTCATTCAACCCAGTAAAGATGAAAGCAGTGGGAGGTTGTAGGTCAAGGTGAAAGATTAATTGCATCATTCTCAAGAGGTCTTGCTGCAGAACTAGGAGGCAACAGTAATTAATTTTGCAGAACTGTAACAGGGCAATAACAAGTGTGCTGCTGTGAAACTGAGCCACCTGTTGGTCAGTTGGGTGCTTAGCAACCACAAGGACATCATAAGGCCTCTCCATTTAGACAGTGGTAACAGGACACTTATGACATTGTCCCAATTCATTTTTGTAGATGAAATGCATCTGGCAAAGGCAAACACAGACTGTTTATGTGAAATGCAAGAGATCAGATGGCCACCAGGTTTAGGTCATCCTGTATAATTTTTTTTAAAGACTTATTTATGATCCAGGCCAGTGTAGAGGAGCCAGGAAGCGAAGTGGGAGAGAGAGGGGGGCGGGATCGGGAAAGGTCCTTGAGCCGGATTCTAACTCGGGACGCCCGCTGCTCACACGCTGCCCACAAGGCTATTGGCGCCAACGTCATCCTGTATAATTAAAGCAGTATTCTGGGTAGCATTTGTAGTGTAATGTTGATTATCACAAAAATTATTTCGGCTCATATCTGGTATTCGTTAAATAAAATTTGGAAGACTTAAAAGCAGAATTTATGAATGTAAGGACCAGTGTTGGGGAGTAACTAGTTACATGTAACGGAATTACATAGTTAAGTTACAAAATAAATGTAATTGTAATCAGTTACTGAGAAAAAATGTGTAATTAAATTACAGTTGCTTATGAAAATGTTAACGATTACAAAGGGGGTTACATCGGAATATTTTCACACACACACATACAGATTTAATTGACATCTTGGTTACACTTTATTTTAAGGTGTCCTTGTTGCAGTGTAACAAGTATAAAATTTATAATGTAAAATGTAATTATACATTTAAGTAATATTAATGAACTGCTTGTACTTACTAAAGTTAAAGTTTGGCTTAGGGTTACTTGCATGTAATTATGCATAATTAATTGTTATTATAGTAAGTACATGTAACGTGTAACAAGGACACCGTAAAATAGTGTTACTGACTTCTTTCATAAATTGCACTGACTGCTCAAAAATATGAGACACCAATGTTTCAGGACTTTAGAACACAGAATAGGACACATGCTTATTCAATAACTTGTTTTATTTTCTATTTGGGTTTGTTTATATGCTTTATTTTTTTAGATTAACTTTTTTTTTCCCCAAGGCATTGTTAAATGCCAGTGTTTCCTTTCTTAGCTATGCAAAGGTTTAATCTCAAAAACAGTATCATAGCTATTAAACTATATCTTGTTATGATTTTAAATCCATATTTAACCTCAGAATGATCTCAAAGTAAAAAGAGGTGCTAGTTTGATTTTGTGGTGGTTGTGCTTTCAAATTAAATTATTGTAATCTTAATTCAAGTGATGAAGTGTTGAGTGCTACTGTAAGGTTAACCCTGTATGGTTTAAATGTTTGAAAATGATTAACAGTTAAAAACATTCGAAATTTAGAAAAGTAATCAGAAAGTAATCAAATGTAATCAGTTACATTACTTTAATAAAGTAATTTAAATAACTTGTAATCTGTAACCTATTACATTTACAAAGTAACCTTCCCAACACGGGTAAGGATTTGCATTAATTCTTCAGTTAAAACTATTATTTGAGCTGTAAACCCGTTTAAATCATTTTTAAATCATCACTTTCAGTTTTTTTTAGGGTGTTGTTTTTTTTTTAATGCAATGTTTTTCACACTAAAAGCATGCTAACACATTGTTTATTTTACTATTGTGGCTTTACTATTGATAGAATAGCGTTAAAAAGCTTATTTTTCAGGCTAGACTTGCCAATGTGTATGTGCGTCTAGAAACACTGTTTCTATAGCAGCTGTGATGATGCAATGACTTTATCATTTAGCAATTGGCTCTTTGAGAAGGCGGGACTATTCTGCCTTATTGCACATTGCACTTTTTCCAATTTCTTTAAGTTATATGAGTGCATCGTCTTTGAAAGTATTTGGTGCTAATCAACATTGCACCACATGCTGTCAGTTGAGCTTAACTTGTACTGAGCTTAACATGCACAGAATATTCCTTTAAGCTGGTTTTGAATTCACCTGTTCCCAAATAGATGCATTATTTAAAGGGCATTTACATAAGACATGCTCTTATGTTTAAAAACATCTAGAAAGAGCAGAATAAACTGTTCTTAGACACATTTTAAAAGTGAAACGCTTAATACCACAAAACAGCAGTACAAATGATGTTGCAGAACCATCATGCGCTAATGAGCACGTACGCCGCTGCTCTTCCTCTGCTAAGTTGGGCATCCTTGTTGCTAGGGGTCTTTTCTGAGAGGCCCTTATCAGCCATTACAGCCGGTGAGTGTGAGAGACCATCGAGGATCAGCCTGACTGCTATAAATATTCCCCTCTGTCTCTCCCATCTCAGCATTGTTTGAATACTGTGGCTCAGTGATGCAACTGCCCCTGCTGATGCCAAATGGGTCGTAGTGAATAGCATGAAAATTGTAACTCTTGTTTTTATTCTTCTGTTTGCCTTGAAGGCACTTTTAGGTAATGTAAATAACACTGTCAGTATGTGGACTGAGACACTGGCATGCTTTGTTCTGATGTATTGGTGAACGACAGATGCGTGATGGTGTAATAAAGTCATCTGGTTTAATGACACACATTGGCACTAGCTGTATCGGGTTTAATCCATGGCATATTAATAGATATGAAGAATAAGCAGTTACGTCATCTGCTTTAGGGTAATCTGGGAAGTGTCCATGAACTCAAAATAGCACAGCAAAAATCAGCATATGTCTCTTTACCTCTCTTTTATCTCAGAGAATAATTGGATGTACAGCAGCAGTAAGGCAGAGCTAATTTTTGCATCTGCTTGCTTTTCATTCAAACAACTATTTTTTGGAACCAAGTCAACTTGAGTATTATGTTATTGTACTTAAATCGTCCTTAAATATTTTAAAGAACTTAAATTGTCGCCCTGAGACCCAGATATTCACAGTCCTCTTTTGGAGAGGAATTTCTGAGGATGCATTTATCTGTTGTATCAGGGACATTTATTTAAATTATTTAACTTTAAATTGTTACTATTATATTAATTATTAATTTATTGTTAATATTATTATTTTAAAATGGCTGAAAACTTCAAATGTTTTATTTTATCTGTTTGTTCATGTAAAGAAATATAAATTAAATGAAAACTAATTCTGTGGTATACTTCCATTTAGTGATTTGAGCATATTAAAGGTGCAATATGTAATTTTCGCTGCTAGCGTGTATTCAAAATAAACAAATAGACAAATGCGTAGTTAAATGACCGTGTGACTGAGTGTGGAATCATGGAAGTTGTGGTCTTCATCCCCACAGCCGATGCAATCTGACGGGACTCGGGCAGAAATCATGTTCATGGATGAGCTAATGATTTATTAACGTAGTAGAATGAAGCAGGGTGAGGCTGAAAGCCGTCGAAGCTAAACGAGGCCGCTGAACGAGCGTGACACACGGCTCGAAAGCAGCGGAGCTTTTATTATGCCAGTCGACCGCTTCCGCTCCTTCCGGTCGTGCTTATGTGGGAAAAAAAGCAGCGCTGTTTTATCATACTAGATACATTTGAAAGTTCTGTTATAATGCTACTCTGTGCGGTCGTCACCGGTCTATTAAAACACACAACATATTAAAGCGTCTTTGGTGTTTCCATGTTTTCTACAAAAAAAAACCAGAAATCGAGGGGTTATGACGTCATTAGCAGGCGACACAATGACACTATGGACACGGTCCGTGTCACTAGTTAAAATTGCTTATTTCTCTGGATTTAAACATTCTTCGAAACATTTGGAATAATGTAAGTACACAAGTCAGCAAAATATATAACACTGTTCTAGTGGTTTTTGGATATTTTAATAAAAAAATCTTACATATTGTGCCATTAACTCAGTTGCACTCACTTAAAATCTAGCATGCCAGATGTTTCACATATTTTCAAAAAAAGTGTACTTTTTTTTTTTTTAAAGCATATAAAATTCAAATGAGAAATCTTTAATTAGTCATTAATTAAATCAGTGAGATATTCAAATTATTCTTTCATTTTATCCAAGTTTTTCCATGAAACTATATAAATAAAAATGTAAATGTATGAAAACAGACTTTGGTGGGCTTAATGGGTTAGTTCACCCCAAAATTAAAATTCTGTCACTCTGCATAAACAGCAGCGTAACTGACACGATCAATCAAGGTACAGAAACGTAGTAAGGACATTGTAAAAATAGTCCATGTGACATCAGTGCTTCAACCTTAATTTTATAAAGCTACAAGAATACTTTGTGCGCAAAGAAAACAAAAATAACAACTTTATTAAACAATTCTTCTCTTTCATGTCAGTCTCTGCCACGCGTTCAAGATAGTACCATGGCACATGTGCACTTTCTTGGCGCACTGTATTCTCGTAGCTTCATAAAATTGAGGTTGAATCACTGATGTCACATGGGCTATTTTAACGATGTCCTTGCTACGTTTCTGGGTTTTGTACGTGTCAGTTGTGTTGCTGTCTATGGAGGTTCAGAAAGCTCTCGGATTTCATCAGAAATATCTTAATTTGCGTTCCAAAGATGAACGAAGGTCTCACGGCTTTGCTGGTTTCAGAGGCGCTCTGTACTTGAGGAGTTCAGATGCATTAACATAACTTGGTCCAGTTAAAGGTGAAGAGGGTAGACAATTTTCTCACCCTCCCGTTTTCTGTCCTTTTTCTTGCAGAGTTCATTGAAGGCGTCTCTCAGTTCAGTGTCAAGGGTGACAAGGAGCAGAAGCTCCGCTGTGAGTCTCTTTCCATCTTGAATTTCCCCAACACTTTCCTTTGGTTAAGGTTAAGTGTTTAGTACACTTATGTTCATCCAGTGTTGATCCAAACCAAAATAAGTGTAGTGCACTGGAGCAAAGCATTCTAGCACCTTTTCTGGCATGTTTGTTTCTGCAGTTGCGTTCAGGATTTATGACATGGATAAGGATGGCTACATATCCAACGGTGAGCTGTTCCAGGTGCTGAAGATGATGGTAGGGAATAACCTGAAGGACACCCAGCTGCAGCAGATCGTCGACAAAACCATCATCAACGCAGACAAGGATGGGGACGGGAGGATATCTTTCGAGGAGTTCTGCATTGTGAGTCATTTCATTTTGGGTCTGGTTTTTAATGTTGAGATACAGTGAAATTTGACACTCCAAACACTTTCATCAGCAATTTCCATGTTCAGCTTTTGCTGAAAATAATAAGAGTAAATAGGCTGAAAATAAACCTAGAGGACCATTTTCACTAGTGACGCACCAAAATGATTTTACTGAAACTGAAAGTTTCTTTAATAATCAATTGAAGAATCAAGTTAATATCACCGTTTTATGATATAATTGTGTTTCTTCTCCATTATGTTGTTAAAATATAAACATTTAAACTGTGGCTGTAATAACTTGTTTTCATGAGATTTATTATATGCATGTTAAATGACAAAGAAAACGGGCTAAGAAAAAGTATAAAGAGTGTGCATATTTAGCATAATCCTGCTTTCTAGAAGCTGTTTTGACATCATTCTGTAGTTTACCTGTTGTAGCTTATATACATTGTGTGCACATAATAGACGCAGACATGGTCAAAACATGCCATCAGAGAATTAAACATCACCATTTTGGTCAGTGATTTTGGCCAAAACTAGAACGAATGAGTATTTCTGGATGCCAATATTTTGCTGCATCACAAATTTTAACCCAAGTATTCATTATTACTGGTTTCAGAGTGTTTTCCCCCAAAAGTTTATCATCAAAATTATTTTATATTTTTTTTTTTTATAAATTCCTGCATTTATGGAAAACTTGGTAGTTTCTATCCATATTAAATTATATTGCAAAAAGAAAAATATTGTCCAGTACTCATGAATGACTGAATTGATTGATTTATTAGTGACGTGAACCTTAAATATAATTAACATTTAATATGAATATAATTAACAGTATTTATCTTAATGTCAATTTGGGTTTCATTTCTTGGCTCAGTTTGTCCACTATAGGAATGTTGTCTCTAAAGTGTGTGTTGGTAGACTACTTGTCAAACAGCTGACTAGTTATTGAGATTTTTGGTATGTTTTAGCAGTGGTGCTTTAATTAGTGTGCTATAAGAGTTTGCACAGTAAAAAATTGTGGGTCATTGAGTTATAACACTTTTTTTTCCTCTGGTTATGAAATGCACTGACATTATTTCCTGTCACCCTCTCCCTTCTCTTCCGCAGGTGGTTGGTGGCTTAGACATTCACAAAAAGATGGTGGTGGATGTGTGAAGAGACGGAACAGGCCCTTCACTGAACACCCTCTTTTCACTTCTCCATTTCTGAGAATCAGCTCCAGATGTTCCGCTAACACGCTCTCTCTCTCTCTCTCTCTCTCTCTCTCTCTCGGTCTGTCGCTCTCTTTCTCTATTTTCAATGGAACTATTTCTCTGAATGATGCCTCTGTTCCCCGTTTTTACTCCCTGAGCCTTGTGACGCCTGCCATCCTAAGTGTTATAGAGCATGAGATTCTTCTGTCCACGTTCTCGGGTATTTAAGGACAGTCAGAGAGACGACTTCTCTGTCGACTACCGAGCGACTCAGTGTGGTGGAGAAGGAAGAGAGGAGTGTGTGTGTGTGTGTGTGTGTGTGCGCGCGCACGTGTGTGTATGCATGTGTGTACGTTCTTTATTTTTCTTTTTGAAGGGGGGATTTTTTTGTATTTATTTTGGTCCTGTCTTTTTTTTTTAAATGATCTAGGTCTACAGGGAGTAAGTGTATGTGAGCGATATATATGACTTGACACTTGATTTCAGTGCAACACGCTTCAAGCATGAAGTGCCAATCGAAACATATACGTGGGATTTAACAATAGCTGAATATTGAAACCGCCAGCTGATGTTCTTCATGTCATGGGGAGATTAAAAAAGTCATCAAGTTTATTATCATCAAGCTTATTGTTTTTTGTTTCCACCTCTTTCGAGCAAATATCTGCTTCAGATCTCACGCAAAATGCAAATCCGATTCGAATTTTCTACCGAGAATGTGTGCATGTATGTAAAGTGTGCTGTGTTAATATTGTCAGGGAGTTCGTCTACCGTCTTGCTTTCTGATATACAGTAGACTAGGATAAAAAGCAAATATATTTGAAGTTGTGCACAGAGTATGGTTTACTTTTAAGACCGGTGTTTTATCGCAGGGGTCGGGTGAGGAGGGACGATCAGATCACACCACATGTTACTGTAGGATGGAAGTGCCATCAGTAAACTTCCTGGACTTTTTTTGTTTTTTTGTGTGTGTGTATTCTGGATTTATTACCATTTTAACACAGCAAACGAATAAGTTTGATTTACCTCTCGACATTGTAGGATACAGTGCATATTGTGGCAAACGGAATCCACAATAACACCTGATTTGAATATTTGTTTGTGGAAATACAAGGTACATTTTTTTCCAACTTGACTGCAGGCAGCATTGTAAAGACCTTAGTAGCTCATATATGTATATTAGGGACTGAAGGACAGATTGTGTGTTTTGTGGGTTCGGGTTTTTTCTAAGCTTTAATCAAGTTGGTTCGCAGCATGTTACCTGAGAGGGATCGTCGAAGTAGGCAAAACCAGATCTGACTGACTGGTCGGTTTCTCTTTTCCTTAGTCATTTCAAAGATAGATCCGTGGGATTGATGTGTTCAAGAAGGGAGACCAAACCAGACGCTTTCAATGCGGATGGATAAACTCGAAGCGTTCTGCCACTCTGCTATTTTGCTTTAAATGTGATTCTCCCGCGCAAACCGGCGTTTTTCGCGCCAGCTGCTGCTGCACGGTGACGACGCTTCAATATGTCTTTCCCGAAGGCCGTTGAGGTCTTGAGATGTGCTTGCATGATACGGGAGGGTTTCTCTCTGATTTTTCTTTCTGTTGAGCATGTAGATCTGATTGGGGGGGGTTCTCTTGTTTACATATGAATCGTACTATTGAGATATTATAATCTTAATGACCGTTACATATAAATATATGGACGTTGCCAAACTGTTGGTAAATGTTTAAATATGGAAATGATTTTAAAGCGAGTTTCTTCACTACATTTATCCATAAATATTATGAAAATAACAAAAAATAAAAATGTAATCCAGTTATTCTGGATTGGTGTCCGTCACTCCCAGCGAATTTTTTCCCTCTCTTTAAAAAATACAATAAAATAAAAGGGGGAGTTATGTTTTATTTTTCTCCTTTTCCGTTCATGGTTTGGTTGAGTTGTTTTGTACAGAATGTGTGTTTGTTAATGCTCCTTGCTTTCGGTTCTGTTCTGTATTTCTTTAGCTGGGGGTCAGACAGCCATCTGTATAGCTTTCGATGGGAGGGAGAGCCGGGGGGGTTTTGGACAAAGGAAACATACAAGTGAATGAAAACCTTTCGCTTTTAGGTTTAACGTTTTGTTTCTTTCTTCATTTCTCTGCATGCTGCGTCATATGCTGTGGGAACCATTGAAATGTCATTCATGAAAATGAGAAATAAAATATTTTGAGACTTGTACAACTGTTTTCTGGGTCTTTCTATTGCACCGCAATTTCGAAAAGCTCTTCACCATTAATTTCTCAATATAGCGGATATAAGACTCGCAGCTTTTAAATGGTCATATTTGATTTGCCATCAATTCGTAGTTTTAATAAAATAAATAAATAACAGTTTCTTATAAGAAATGGATTTTATGAATTCGGTGATGTTTTGTGAAGTCTTTCAAACGTTTGTCTCGCTGTAAAAAGATAAATAACATTAACTTTGTTTGAATTCGGTTACATTCCATCTCATTTTTTCCTTGTGTCTATAAAGTATTATATTTAATAGTGAAATTAAGTGCCTGATCTTGACCTGAGCTTATTTCTAAACGTTTTCTATGTTCTTTAAATACACGCGGTAGACGTAGACTAGATCACTTACCGGGGGGAATGTAAAAGACATAAAGCTGTAATATTAGCTGTTTCCCACTAGGTGTCAGTAAAACACAACTAATGAACGAACGAACTATTGAGTCAAAGATGCAGTCAAAGGGGGAAACCAGTTAGTTAACCAGTTAGGGAAGGTTAGTCGATGGTTATAAAAAAAATAAAGCTTAAATAATCGTTCTGTATATATTAGGTTGGGAAAACAAAATGTATTGCAACGTTCTGAGAAGTTTAGATATTGGTCACAGAAAGGAACCTACAATGGACCTAATCAGGCTAGCATCATATTGTAATACAGCCCAATATTCGACAGCAATGTAGCTATTAAATGAGTCTTTGAGGGATAAAGGTGCGTTCAATGGATTGTACTGTTGTTTACCAGTCCTGGGTACTAACTGATTACATGTTAATCTGGATTACTTCATTAGAATCCAAAATTATGGAACTACTTGTAAATTAGATATTACATTTTAAAACACTCAATCAAACTACAGTTACTTTTTTTGATTACATGATAACATATTCACAGAATAACAATTATTCATAATTTATAGATTCTCCCTACTTCCTCTTTTTCATCTTTTGAATACTCCTTTCTGAAATGGCAAGAAACATTCAGAAAGCCTTCCAGTTTTGTGGACATTCACACAGTCTCCAGTCAGGCGGCTGTAATTACACAAATTTACAAAAATCCTTTCAATTTTAAGAAGTGTTTTCTCAACATTTCAAAATTGCATCAAATACTGATGAACACATAATTTTTTATTTTAATTATCACTCAGTGGGTTAATGTATTAATATGTCTTTGGAAGGCTTTTGTCTTTCAAACACATGAAAATGCACGTTATTGGTTGAATACGGTTAATGGTCATGCGAAACCACATTTTTTTCTCGTTTTTGGTATTTCACTTTATTTTAAAATGATTTCTTTCATTTGACATTTTTATGATTTTCATTAGTAATCCTGCAGTTTCTTCACAAACGCCAGTTTGGGAAAACCCTGACATAATGGAATTTATTTTCTTTCTCTTTGTATTTCTTAACAATAGGGTACAAGATTATCCCATTTAAATCAATGTGATAAACAAGTTAGATCAAAAGCAATCTAAAAGTAATCTGATTACATTACTTAAAATATGTAATATAATGGGTTATGTTACTAACTACAATTTTTGTCATGTAATTTGAAATCAGTAACAGACTTGTTTTCAACGGCCATTTAGATTGTAACGGGCAGAAAGTAGGCCTACACCTGTTTAGAAACAAGTTTCCAAAGAAACGTTTACTACATCGAAATGGTATTAGCGTACCTTTCAGAAGAAGAGTTACCTCAGTAATAAAACACATCTTGTCAAATTAAATCAGCCTAAACTAGTTTGTTAGCCTCAGCTTGTTGAAACTGCTCTCCCAGCTTGACTATACGCTGGTCAGCAAGCGAAAAAATCCTTAAAAGTGGTTCCAGAAAATATCAGGCATTACATCAATATGCTTCTTGAACTACTTTCTTTCGAGGACCATGCAGCTTATGTTTGACATAAATGATAAATGGCCATGCTTATATTCAGTACAGAACACATTTATAATTGCTAGCTGAGAAAAATGCTCAAAAATATGACCCAAAACAGCCTAATAATCTCACCTATTATTATCTCAATCCCATTTAAACCAATGGGAACATTTACAACAGACATTTTCCAACACGTCATTTTTAGACCCCTTGCAGAAACCGAGTCCAGCACAGGATCTTTCTGCGGGAGAGATTCAAGACCAGCCGTATCAGTCAGCATCAGGTGAAGCACAACAGACAAATTAGAACATCTATCAATTACACACACACACACACACACACACACACACACACACACACACACAGTTATTTCCCACACACATGCAGAGACACCAGAGGACATTGATCCACTTCCAGAATCTGTGCCCCAGTAGGACAATAGTCTTGGCCTCGCAGGTTGGCTTTTCTCAGGCCCAGTGTCTGGGACAGCGAGCGATATTTTGTATCGGTGTCCGTTCTGATTGGGAAGGAGAATAATTGATGGAAGTGAGAGAATCGGAGTAAAGCAGAGAGGAGAGCGGGTTCAGCTGGAGTTCAGGTGTATTCTCAGGTGACTTTATTTCTGCACACAGGCTGCTGATAAGCATGTTTATCGAGCAGACAAAAGGACAGTGAGGATCCTGTTGCTTCAGTTTAAACCTGTTCTCCGTCTCCATGTGCTGGCGACGGGACTCCAGACGGGCTCGAAGTGAAGCAACAAAACGCAATATAGGCATAAACGGCACAGTCTCTTACAGAGAATCTGCAATCCCACACATTTAACCAATACATTTCCATTTTTTAAGATGTTTATGATTTAGCAAACATCTTTTAAAAAACTGATTCACTAATAAATCACTTAGATTCTGACTGATTTTTTATTGTTTTAAAATAAACCAACTCATTTAGCCAGCTAAATGAAAAATGCATAATAATAATAAAAATGCCCATAACTTTTCCAAGCCTAGGAAACGCTCTAATTATACTAATTTACAAAAAAATGCAACAAAACCACACAGAAAATGTGTATTTCAGATAGCGAAGAAATTAAAGTCAACTCTATATTTATTTTACTGAGTGAAATACACATTTCTGTTCATTTCCTGTGCTTGAAAGGTGTGTATGACATAAATATTCATATTTGTTTCCTTACTAAACAGTAAATATTTAAATAAAATTAAGTATGAAAATACTTATGA